ATTATAGTTGAGTCATACTTGCTTGGTTGATCCCTTTTTCTTTTCCTTTTTAAATTCTTTTTCCCTTCCCTTCCTTCCCCCGCACCCGCCTTTTTCATTCCTTCTTTCTTTCTACCTCTAGCATTTTAAAACAAATTTCAGACATTGTGCATTTTTACTCCAACCATTTCTGTATTATACCATTATTTCTCATGTCTGCATAATATTTCATTTTATGTATGTACTGTAATATACTTAACCAGTCCAGTAATGATGGGCATTTTCATTGTTTATAGTTTATTTCTGATAAATACTTCTTCCTGGAACATCCGTATATGCTTGTATCTTTTCAACATCCTTATACATAACGTCTTTTCTCACGCTTGGCATTCTCTTTTGACTAAATTCTTGGAAATGAGATTGCTGAAACAAAGGGTATGAACTTTTTACAAACTGCTACATCATACCAAACTGACCTTCAGAAAAGTTGTAGTAATTCTTACTACCATCAACTGTGTGTCTGTTTATCCATAGCTTTGCAGAATTGGGTTATCTTAGCCTTTTAATCTTGGCCATTCTGGCAGTATGATAGATTAAAAAATATTTTTTAGGTGATTTAAAAATTATTAATGAAACTGGGCATCTTTATTCTTTTTTTAATACTTTTTTTTATTGTGGTAAATATATAGGTAACAAAACATTTTCCTTTTCAAAAATCTTCACATGTACAGTTAGTTTAGTGACATTAAATATGTTCATCAGTTGTTCAATAATCACCATTAACCATTCTCTAATTTTTCCATCACCCTTAACAGAAGCTTAATGTCCCCTAATCTTTATTCCCTAATCTTTATTCTTATTATTGACCTTTTGTGAGTTCAGGCTAATCTTTCATACATCACTTTCATTGTTTTGCTTCTTTATTCAAAAACCAGAGCATCATTATTTTGCTATCCCTGATTTTTAAGACCCTTCGTAATTAGGCCCTAACCTCGTTTTCTAATTTTGTTGTTGTTAGTTGCCATCGGGTCAACTTCAACTCACGGCAACCCCATGTACAACAGAACAAAATGATGCCCAAGTGATCGCTGGTATGCCCAAGTCCATGGTTGTGGCCACTGTGTATTTTGATTGCCTTCCAACCTAGGGGCCTCATCTTCCAATACTATATTGGACAATATTCTTTTATGAGCTATAGGATTTTCTTTGGCTAGTTTTTGGAAGTAAACTGTCAGGCCTTTCTTCCTAGCCTGTCTTAGTCAAGAAGTTCCACTGAAATCTGTCCACCATGGTTGACCCTGCTGGTATTTTTGAAATACTGGTGACATAGCTTCCAGCATCATAGCAGTACACAAGCCACAATACGACGAACTGACAGACAGGTGGTGGTTTCTAATTTTAGTTCTTTATAATGTCCAGCAAGAGTCCCTGGGTGGTGCAAATGGTTAATGTGCTCAGCTGCTAACCAAAAGGTTGGAAGTTTGAGTCCACACAGAGGCACCTTGGAAGAAAGACCTGCTGACCTACTTCTGGAAAATCAGCCACTGGAAACCCTGTGGAGCGGTTTTACTCTGATAGTCATGATTCTGCTATGAGTCAGAATCAACTTAACTGGCACCTGGTGGTTTTAATGTCTAGCAAGAGTGTTTCTACTCTAATAAGGCCTATTTCTCATTCATAACTCATCTTTTCCATTTTCATTTTCTTGGATTCATTTTTAGTAATATTTTATTTTTCTTTTGCGTATTCATATCCTTCAGAATCCTTATATCACATCTTGTAATGAAGAAATCCCCAAATTCTCTAAAAACAAAGAAACAAACCCGTTGCCATCAAGTTGATTCCGACTCATAGTGACCCTATAGGACAGGGTAGAACTGCCCCATAGGGTTTCCAAGGAGCAGCTGGTGGATTGGAACTACTGACCTTTTAGTTAGCAGCTGAGCTCTTAACCACTGTGCCACCAGGGCTTCCCAGATTCTCTAGCCTTTATCAGTTTTCTCTTATTTAAATTCCCACAGAAGCAATTGTTTTTACCACTTGATTTAGTGGCAAATTATAGACCACTTTGTGGTGTTACTTATCAAGCACCAACTGTGTAGGAAGCCATGCGTATATAGTTTGGGGACAGAATGTAATCTCTGTCCTTGTGAAAGTTATAGTGTAGTGATGATGAATTTATTTCCATTTCTATGGTTATTAGTGAAGTTGAACTTCTTTTCATATACCTTTGTACATATGAAATCTGCACACGTTTTTAGATATATAGTTATATTTCCCTAACTGGATTGTGAGATCTTTGAGGGTGGTATTAACTATATTTTATTCTTCTCTATTCCTTACAACGGAGCCCTGGTGGCGCAGCAATTAAGAGCTTGCCTGCTAACCAAAAGGTCGACATTTCAAATCTACCAACTGCTTCTTGGAAACCCTATGAGCCGTTCCACTCTGTCCTGTAGGTTCGCTATGAGTCAAAATCAACTCGACAGCAACGGGTATTCCTTACAACACTTAACTCAGTTCTGAGCATGTAACCATTGCTAAGTACATACTTTCTATTGTTGTTGTTAGGTGCCGTCGGGTCAGTTTTGACTCATAGCAACCCCACATGACAGAGTGGAACTGCCCCACAGGGTTTTCTAGACTATAATGTTTACGGAAGCTGATTGCCAGGTCTTTCTCCAGTGGAGCTGCTGGGTGGGTTCAAACCAACAACGTTTTGGTTAGCAGCCAAGTGCTTAACTATTATGCTACCAGGGCTCCTTTCTGTCTCTGTTAGCGTAGTAATAAAAGTTGAAGGCTGTAGAGTCACATACATAGCCTCAAATTGCAACTAAAGACCTTATGAACTGTGCAACACTTGCAAGTAACTTAACCTCTCTCAGCTTGTTTCCTTATGTTAAATATGTTTCATAAGATTGTCATGTGGGTTAAAGGAGATAATGTATGTAAAACATTTAGCAACAATGCCTGGTACATAGTAAGTGATCATTAAAAGATACCTGCTATTATTATAATAATTGTTTATTTGTTTAACCTGTCAAGGTAGAATCTGCTTCCGTGACCCCCTTTTTTTTTCCTAACCCCTTTTATCTATGCGGTTAACCAGTTCTGTCCAACTTACTTCAATTATCTTGTCAATTTGGCCTCTCCTTTTAATCCTCATTGTAACCCATGGAAAGAAATTCATTTTGTATTGTGGCTTAGTATATATGTGTTTATATCTAACAGAAAGTTCTGTGAACTAAGATTTATTGTTACTATGTGGGATGCACTCCGATATTTTTCTGTTATTTGTCATAAAAAAAGCTGGTCTCAAGCCATTAAAACTGATTTCACAACACACAGTTTGAAATACACTGGTCTAGATTTTTGGAGTCTGTAAAATTTGGCTTACTCCTGAACATTATCATGCTCAAGTGTAACTTTGCAATGAAAGTAGAGATCGGAGACCAAGTGCCTGGGGCTTGGAGTTTATTTCTTCTTTTCGATTGCATTTTCTCTTTGCTCTCCATTAGTTAGAAATAGTTAGATTTACCACTTCTGAATCTGTTCTCACTGCTGAGGCCGTGCACATTTCAGAGCTGGTATAGGATTTAGAGCTTGTAGACAGCTTCCCATCTTTAATAGAGCGAGAATTTCTGAACCACTTTGTATATTGTTTTTCTTTGGACAGAAATTGAGATAAATGAATTAAAAAGTAGTTAGCATAATTTATGAAGAGGAGTTTGAAAAATATTTTTTATTCTGGAAAAGTTTTTAACATTTAAATAAGTGGAAAGAGTAGTATAATGAACCTCCATTACCTAAATACAACTTCAGTAATTATCAACAGTATGTCAGTTTCAAAAGGAATTTTTAAACAAAGGACTTTTAAGGCATACATAATTCCCTTTCTTAGTACAGACAGACTTAGATCTGTTTTTTGGAGGAGATATATCAGCCTTAGTGTACCTTGCTTCAGTACTCACAGCTTACTCATTTTATGTGATCCCTGCAAGAGGAGTAAATCATTACATGACATGAGGGAGTAGGGGTAGGGTGGAAATCTTCTACCCTATTTGAGGAATTCTCCTGAGGGACTCCTAGAACACTGAACCTTCGCTGCTTTACTTGAAGTATTTCACCAGCCTTCTTTACCATTCTTCCTCCCTTCATATCACCTGCCTTACTACTATTAGACTGATCTTTTAAAAACGGCCTGGAGGTAGGAAAAGCTTAATGCTCTGTTTAAAATAGATTTTTTCATTCATAATCTGTCTCCAGCCTCCCTTTCTAACCTTTTCCACTGTCTGTCTTTTCCCTATCATATTCTTACTGTTCCCAGAATACTCAGTCCGCTTTAGGACTTGTTCTTATCTTTCAAGGTCCAATTTAGATATCATCTTGTGGATGAAGCCTTTTTAATTACTGCAGAAAGAAGTAGTACCTTTGCTGCTGTTGCTGTTATTTATAGGAGTGTGTGTGTGTGTGTAATGTCACTTAAATGAATTACCTTAAATTCTTATCAGTTTACCTTTGCCCCCCACCATGCCCTCAGTTAAACAGTGATTTCCAGAACAGGGATTCTTATTCTTCTTTGTCTCCTAAATATTTCTTTGGTGCTCGCACATAATAGGCACCCAGTAATGGTTTGTTGAATGAATGTATTCATACTTTTGGAATTTTAGAATCTGATTGTTACACAGCCTGTCTAGTTAGGAAGAGTTAATCAGGTTTTATTTTGTTCTTATATATTTTTTAGTTGTTTCTTTTTTTTCTCCTTTTCCCAGAAACTTTTTGTTAAAATTTCTAGAGAACTTAAGTTTAATGAACTTTTTCCTGAGGGGGGCGTATAGTTAAGTTGTAAACTAGCATAAACTGTCCAGCTCCGACCATCCTGTAGTACAGGTAAGTAAAATCTACTTTTAGGATACTTAAGTTTTTTCTGCTGTTAAACAGTTTCGTTTTATTTTGTGAGTTGGAATAGACTTGTGCTATAAAGTTTATAGATGCCTTGACCAATTTTTAATATATTTCAGCTCATGGAATGCTGTGTAAATGCCCTGGTGACATCCTTTAAAGAGACTATCTTAGCAGAATGCCAAGGCATGATCAAGAGAAATGAAACTGAAAGTAGGTAAAACCTCATGTACAGTCATCTTATCTTTTAAGCGGGTATCTTTGAAACAAATCACTTAATAAATTGCTGTTGATACATAATGTCTATTTGTTAAAGTGAACTGTGTTTAAAGGCAGTGGTAAAATATTTAGCACAGTTAGGATCACTATTTCTAAACTTATATTTAAACATTTTCCCCTTAAATATTAGTGCTATTTTATTTTCCTAGTACGTGAACTTCCATTTGTTCTCAAAAGTAGGACCCTGCTTTTAAAGGCCAGTTTACATAGTAAACACATGGGATAGGATACCTTTTCAAAAAAACCGTTGCTGTCGAGTTGATTGCGACTCATAGTACTAGATATTTGACCTTTGCAAAGAACCTTGTAGTGAATCTTTTTAGAAAGTAATAAAACGCTTTGTTAACAATGTGCATTCCCTCCCCCAAAAAATACTTTACAGTTTAAAAGCTGAAGTGTATTTCTTTTATTACTTAAATGTTTTCTTAATAAAGATTTGTTTTGGAGGCTAGTAAGTACAGTATAAACAAAAAGAATGCAGTAAAAATTACCTGTATTCCCATTACCCAGAGATAACATTTTAATGTATTACACTCCATATTTTATTGTGTCTAACTGCAAGGTCCCATTAAATCTCTAGTTGCATTGAAAGTGTGCATATCAATTCACTTAAATTCATTTATTCACTAGGAGCATTTCATAGTAAAAATCAAGGTGCTCTTTGGCATAAGTGAAATATTTGAATTTCCATACTCCAATCAAAGTAGAGTTCTGTCTGATCCCTGTCAGACTGCCTTTAAAAGGTTTTATTTAGTCATAACCAGTACTGTGAGGTGGATTTTTGTGAAGGTCAGTTAAACAGTATAACATATGAGGAGGTGCTTTGTAAACTGAACAGTTCTTTATGGATACAGTTTTATATTAATGGTTTCTAATACACTTTTCTCTTATAATCATCACTCTGAAAAATCTGATGACATGACTTTTACCCTTAATGATGTGGCTATATATTTAATATTGTATCTACTTTATGAAATGTACTTATCTTCTTTGTAAACTTTTTACTTCTTAGAATTAAAAATATTTCGTCATGTTGGGCCTAAAATGACTCACCTTTTAAGAGAAGTTGAGTTTTGCAGAATGTGATCACTTCTAAATTTGAAATTTTTTTCTAATGTTATACTTTTATCAAACTGAGAAGATAGATCAGGAAGTCCTACTTACTATAATAACTCCTAAACCAACTGTACCCACAGAATACCATTAGGATATTCTTACTAATGTAGGCATTCTAGACGCATGAGATTAATCTGAGAGAAAATTTATTCTAGTTGATGAAATGATTACATAAGTGTGTTATATCCTTTCAGAATTACATTTAATGTTTTCATTGATGGACAAAGTTCCAAATGGGATAGAACCAATGTTGAAAGACTTGGAAGAACATATTATTAGTGCTGGCCTGGCAGATATGGTAGCAGCTGCTGAAACAATTACTACTGTAAGTTTTCTTCAACGGCAGTGATAAATGTATATCAAAACTTGTAAAAATGTGAGATTGAGTATTTAAAATAGTAATTGAAATGGCAAGACAGTAATACTGAAATACCTTTTAATTTTATTATTAAAATTAAAATCATATTTATATTTTCTCAGTTTTCTTTGCATTTCTCTTTTAAAATCTCAATTGAATATAAAACATTTTATTTCTAGGACTCTGAGAAATATGTTGAGCAGTTACTTACACTATTTAATAGATTTAGTAAACTCGTCAAAGAAGCTTTTCAAGATGATCCACGATTTCTTACTGCAAGAGATAAGGTATATATTCCTATATATTAACACTTTGTATTAAAAAAGTTACTGTCATAGTGTACTTTTAATAAAATTTGGTTCATTATGCTATTAAGTAACAATCTAACCTGGCAACTTATTTTTCATCAGTGGAGGGCAGCTATATTTATTATATTTGGTTTGATAAATGTTTTTGTAAGTGTTGGGTATGCCTGTGATCTAGAATTTAGCTAGAAAGTTGCTCTTTCTGATTTTTCCAAGAATGTCTTCCTATGTTTTAATATTATTATTATTGAATTCCTATTCATCCATCCTTCCTTTAAGACCCAGCTCAAAGTATACTTACTCGGAAACTTCCTTCATACACAGCCAATCCCAAGCAGAGTTGCTCCTCCCTCCTGTGTCCTCTCACAGGGCTCCTGTAAGAGTTATGTCACTTCTGTACTTGCATTCCAGATGCATGGCATTTGCATTGCATACCATCTCTTTTCCCATTCTCACTAGTGTGGGGTGATGATAATGAAACAGTATTATTCTTAGAGATATCTTTTTAAATGTCATAAACCTATCACTTAAAATTATCATTAGTTTTTTCCCTGTCTACTATGACTTTAAAAAGAAGACAATCAACTTTCTCCAGTAAACTTTTTTGTCTTACTCACTTTAGTTTGCCTACTTAAAAATAAATAAAATAAGTAGAGTAGAGAAGGAGTTAGGGGAGTAGTATGGTTGTGGTGGGGTGAGTGTTCCAGGTAGAGGGAACCATGGGTGCAAAGACCCCAAGGCGCAGGAACGTACCTGTAATGTTTGAGGAACAGCAGAAAAGGCCATTGTGGCCAAAGTGGATTGCGTGAGGGGGAGAATAGTAGGAAATGAAGTCAGAGAGCTAACAGGAGGCCAGATCAAGCAAGACTTTGTAAGCCATGGTAAGGAATTTGGTTTTCACTCTGTGAGTAGGATGAGAAGCAACTGAAAGATTTTGAACAGAGTGGCTGGACCTGACTTACATTTTAACAGGGTCACTCTGGCTACTGCAGAAAGAGTAAACTGATAGGGGGCAAGAGAAGAAGGAAGAATCCTAGTTAGAAAACTAAATAATTCAATTAAGTGATGATGGAGAATTGGCCTAGAGTGATAGTGGATAGAGGTACTCAGAAGTGGTTGAATTCTGATTATAGTACGAAAATAGGCTATACAGGATTTGCTAATGAATAAGATGTGGAATGTGATAGAAAGAGACCAGTCAAGATTGGTTCTAGTCAATTGGAAGGACATGCTAACTAAGATGGGGAAGACTATGGGAAAAGTGGGTTTTGGGGAGATGGCGCAGAGAGATCAGGAACTCAGTTTTAGACAATTTAAGTTAATTTTGAAATGTTATTAAACATCTATGTGGAAATGTCGAGTATGGAGTTTAAGGGTTAGAACGGGGCTAGAAAAATTTGGAAGCTTCAGCTATAGATGGTATTTGAAGAACTAAGACTGGATATGATCATTAAAGTAATGAGTAAAGATAGAGAAGAGATCCAAGGACTGGCCTAGGGCATAGTGACAACATTAGTTGTCAGAAAAATAAGGAACCAGCAAAGGAAAATGAGCGAAAGACCTGGAGAGTGTGGATGGGGTGCTAGAAAACAGTGGAAAGTGCTTTCAGAAAGAGTGCATGCTTGCTGATAATGCAGGTAGGATGGGGGTTAATCATTGTGTTCAGCAACGTGAAGGTTGTCAGTGACTTTGACAAGACTATTTGGGTGTAGCAATGGTGGTACTATGAAAGCCTGATTAGAGGGTTTCCAATAAGAATGGCAGATGAGAAGTTGGAGACAGTGAGTTAGATAATTCTTCAAGGAGTTTGGCTTAAAGAGTGGGAGAGAAATGGGGCAGTAACTGAAGGTGGGCAAAACCAAAAAAGAGTTTTTAAGACACAAAAAATACAGTTTTGTATGCTGAGGAGATAGAACCAATGGAGAAGGGAAAATTGATGCAGGAGAAGGAAGAGGGAGTTAACTTGGGCAAAAGGGAATGAGTTCTAGAGTTCAAGTAGAAGGGCTGCTTTCTGCCTTGGAGCAAGAAGAGCTTATCCATGGTAATGAGAGAGAAGGCAGAATATGAGCATGGATGCAGGTAGGTGGTGGTGGTCTGTGGAAGCTGTCTTCTATTTACTTCAGTTTTCTCAGTTAAATAGGAAACCACATCATCAGCTGAGAGTGTACAGGAGGGAGGAAATAATGGAGGTCTGAGGAGAAAGGACATGGTATGAAAATGGTAGGAGAGAAAGAGAGTGAGCAGATGAGAAAATGGTACGGTTGTCAGGCAGCATTAAGGCCCTACTTGAGAATAATGATACTCACGACAGAGCACAGCTTGAAAAATTCAGTCAGGTCAAATACACCATTAAAAATAAATAAAAACTAATTTATATTTTTATGCATTTTTGTAAGTGTAACAACTCTGTGCGTTTTAAATACTAAAAGTAATGTTCGTGTTTTATTTCAACTTATTTTCAGGCATATAAAGCAGTTGTTAATGATGCTACCATATTTAAACTTGAATTACCTTTGAAGCAGAAAGGGTAAGTTTTCTAAAACCATATTTTTAAGATTCTTGAAAATTTTTTAGTGTATTATATGTTACTGGATATGCAAGATGCCCTCTTACCCTAGTCCTATTAGGTTTTATTTTATTTTTTTAATTTACAGTCTTTGCTGACTTTAGTTATTAAAAAAAAAAAAACCTGTAAAATATAAAATACTGACAATACCAGGTGCTGACAAGGATGCAGAGCAGCTGAAACTCTGATACATAGTTGGTGGAAATGCAAAATGGTACAAAATGATACAGCCTCTCTGGAAAACAATTTCCTTATAAAGTTTTATAGTGTCTTATTAAGGTAAATATATATTTAACACCTGACACAGCAATTCCACTGTGGGTATTTACCCTAGAGTATTGAAGAATTATGGCCGTACATAAATGTTTATAGCAACTCTATTAGTAATTACTAGATATTGTAAAGAATCCGAAGTTTCTTTAATGGATAAATGCATAAACAAACAGTAGTGCAGCCATAAAATGGAGTACTACTCAGCATTAGAAAGGATGAACTTGTGATACACACAATAATTTGCATGAATCTCAAAGCTAGTCTGAAAAGGTTATATACAGTAAGATTCCATTTATATGACATTATATAGAATGTCACTATAGAAAAAACTATAGTGACAGAACAGATCAGGGATTGCAGGGGTTATATATACAGCAAGATTATGATTACAAAAGATTAGTTTTTTGGTATGGTGAAACTGTCCTGTATCTTGATTGTGGTGGTAGTTACATCTGAATCTATGCATGTGTTAAAATTGATAGAAATGTACAAGAAAAATTGTCAGTTTTATTGCACGTTATTTTTAAAAATAAAATGAAAAAAAAAAGCTGTTTCAATTTGTGATTTTATATTAAATTATTTCCTTTTATGACCAAATAGTGTTGACCTTATTTTTTTAAGTAGAAAAGTGTTCTTAATCTTTTAGACTTCCCTCCTTATTTGTCACCAAAGTTATTCTTTTACCTGTAAAACTATGGAAAATGGCTCAATTTACCAGGATAATGTTTATAAATTTTTACGTTACCCTTTTAAAAATTGATTTCTTATTGATAAAATAAATTTGCTTGTGCTAAATACTATTTATGATGGCATTGGTGGTTCAGTAGTAGAATTCTCACCTTCTGTGCGGGAGACCTAGGTTCAGTTCCTGGCCAGTGTACCTCAAATGCAGTCACTGCTCACCTGTCACTGGAGGCTTGAGTGTTACTGTGATGCTGAACAGGTTTCAGTGGAGCTTCCAGATTAAGACAGACTAGGAAGAAAGGCCTGATGATGTACTTGCAAAAATCAGCGAGTGGACACCTTATGAATCACAACAGCCTGATCCCATTGTGTATGGGGTGGCCATGAGTCACAGGCCTACATGACAGCAGCCAAAACAGGTCTTATTTATTAAAAATCTGAAAATTGATATGTAATGAAATATTAACAAATCCGAGCTGTTTATAGGTAGTGCTGAGTGGCACTAAAGGGTAATTGGGAAAAGTCTTTTGATATAGTTTCTAGCTGAGAATTACTATTTTAAAGAAATTTTATATGTAATGCTAAAATATTAGAAAAGTAGCACCTCTTCAGAAGGAAGAGTAGTTACTCCGGTTTTTTTTTCTTTTATTTTAATTATTTTTCACTTTGTGTCTTTTGAGAAGTGTAAATTGCTTGAGTGATATTATAATGGTAGACGTCTGGTTCAAACAGTATCGTAGCTATTAGTATATTTTAGAAGGGCATATATTGCGTTCTCTTTTATAAATTGTGAAATATATGAAACATATAACACTATATCCTAAAATCTCTTCATATGAGTATATGGATATCTTCCTCACTTTCCCCCAGCCCCCAGCATTTTATTATGAAATTTTTCAAGCTTACAATAAAGTCACTGTAATTGCTTTGTCAAACAGATTTCTGTCTATACACTAAACGCTTTATTAACTAAATTGTTTGTTAACTTACGTTTTGAGGTAAAAATTATAAACAACCATATGCATAAATATTAAGTGTATAATTCAGTGAAATATGACAAATGCCTGACCCAGCCACCCGCTACCATCGAGTTAATTCCAACTCATAATGATCCTATAGGACAGAGTAGAACTGCCGCCTAGGATTTCCAAGGCTGTAAATCTTTACAGAAGCAGGCTGCCACATCTTTCTCCCTTAGAGCAGCTAATGGGTTCAAACTGCCAACCTTTTCTTTAGCAGATGAGTGCTTAACCACTGCATCACCAGGGCTCCTGACAGATGCCTATACCTCTATTAACATGGGCAGTAATTTTTCATTAGGGTAAAATACCCATCATCCTAGAAAGTAGTCTCATGCCCCTTCCCCCACCTCCTACTGAGGCTGCTATTGTTATTGTTCTGGTTGTTTCAACATAGATTAGTTTTGCCTGGTCTAGAATTTAGTTCATATAAACGGAATCATACAATATATACTTTTTTAAAATGTAAAGCTTCTTGCATTCAATATAATGTTTTTGAGATTCATTCATATTTTTGCATGTACAGTAGTTTTCCAAAGTGGTTGTACTGTCACTCCCACCAGTAATGTATGAAAGTTCCATATGAAAACAAAAAGTAAAAAATAGAATTGATGCTGATCCCTGGATTCATAATTGGGAGAGGAAAAAAGTTTCATCCACCTCATTACGAATTGACACATACGGTAAAGTTTTACATATGCATATATTACAAACGTGTTTATATACACACACACAAAATAATCACATTGTTTTGATGTGTTGTGTGCTTATAGTAACTTGGATAACTCAATCCTAGGAAAATAATACTTAATTGCACAAGAAATTTGAACATCTTGAATTTAAACTTAATTATATACATTGTCTGCAGCCCTGGTGGTGCAGTGGTTAAGTGATAATGGCTACTAACCAAAAAGTTAGCAGTTCAAATCCACCAGCCACTCCTTGGAAACCCTATGAGGCAGTTCTAATCTGCCCTGTAGAGTCACTATGACTTGGAATTGACTCAATGGCAATGGGTTTTGGAGTTTTTTTATATACATTGTCTGGAGAAGTAGGATAAAGAATAAATGCAAGACTTCCAAGCATAAAAATACATTAAACTGGTTTAAAATGTTGTGGGGAAAGTGAAATAGAGATACAGATCCTTCATTGTTTAAGAAGAGTTTGTTTACAGTTTTTAAAAATGGATGACAGTAGATACCACATTGCTGTGGAATTTAGCTTGCAGTGGATACATTTCAGAGAGTGAAGTAACAGTTTTATCTTAACATGTTAGTAGTGAAAGTTTTAAATGTTAAATTATAAGTAGGCGAGGATTTGCATAGTTTTTCAAAAGTCTTTCAGGAGTTAACTGAATAAAATAATGTAAAAAATGATGGCAGGGCCAAGACTCTGAGGTGAGCTAAGCAGGTGCTGAGGGCACAAAATTTAAGGAGGTAGTTATTCTCAGGATCCTGCAAGGGTAAGGTCAGCACTTATGGGAACTTAAATGCCTCCTTAAGTTTTGCACCCTAGGCTTCTTGCTTACTTCATCCTTATCTCAGCCTGAATCCCTAGATTATGGAAGAAATTGTGTGAAAGATGGGCCTTAAAACAAAATGTTTACAGATACCAGTTATTTTTCAACAACTGCTTTTAATTTGCTTTTTAGGGTGGGATTAAAAACACAGCCTGAATCAAAATGCCCTGAGCTGCTTGCCAATTACTGTGACATGTTGCTAAGAAAAACACCATTAAGCAAAAAACTAACCTCTGAAGAAATTGAAGCAAAGCTTAAAGAAGTGGTACATATATATTTTTTTTATATTTCAAAATGTTTAATGACCTTACTTTGATTTTGTTTTTTGCTTATGACTTTCTGTGATAGCATCAGTAAAATATGTACCTATGTAAGCAACTAATGTTAAGAAGTTTTACAGTATAAGAACTCTACAGGATAGTTACTTTTCTACCTGAAAAGTTTTACTCAGAAATACCTAAAAGAGAAAATATTATTTAATCCTTTCCTTTTCTTGATTTTTTTTTTAAGCAACTAAATTGTAGCTCTTATTAAAGAACAAATGGGAGAAAAGTAGAGCTAATGGTGTTTGGAACTATTGTTGGCAGACTGGGAATTTTCCTCTCCTTTTTAATGAGAAACCAAGATAGATAGCCAAAGATGAAGAGTGTAGACAGAGTACTAATTGCTTTCATTCTCATATTGGTCTCTCGATTGTAATAATATAAAACAAGGAATATAGATGGAAAAAAAAAAGAAGTAAAGATCCAGGGGACGGATAGACAAAAAGGCCTAGAGAGATAAATGCCAGAAAGAAGTGAAGATATGTAGAAGAGAAAGTTGGGGAAGAACTATTGATTTTTCTCATAAAGTATTGTTACATTTTATTTAAAATCTATAAGTAGTATTTCTAGGAGCTAAATGTAATTTGATTACAGTCTTAAATTAACTAACTTTTAAGGTGGTATGTCAGTATATCTTTCAGGACTGGTTATTTTTCAGAGATGGGCAGTTTAGTAGGCCTGTCTGTATATGCTTATATAAATTTGAGTTTTGATGAATGGGGAATGTAGAAAGGTCTAAATAAGAGAGAGATGTCTAAGACGATATAAGAATTGAAAGTGATTTTGTTTTCCATACAGCTCTTGGTGCTTAAATATGTACAAAACAAAGACGTTTTTATGAGGTATCACAAAGCTCATTTGACACGACGTCTCATATTAGACATCTCTGCTGATAGTGAAATTGAAGAGAATATGGTAGAATGGCTAAGAGTAAGTAAACTTTATTTTTAATGTTTTGTTTTCGGATATAGCATATGATTCATGTATGTCCTTAAGTAATGCATTTTGGCAGTATTCTTAATGTCAAAGAGATAGGGAACATTGTATAAAATATAACATCAATTATATAAAATAAAATGATACTTAATAAAGGCCTTTAGGAAAGTACCTTTTCTCTTGATTTGTTTTTATTGTTTCACTCGTATTTGTCCCTCCGGTCTAATTTGAGCTGAACTTACTGATTTAAGTTACAGGACAAAACATTTTATTTTTAAAGGTGTTTTTAAATATTTAACTCTAGAGATGTTTGAAAACAAATATCAACAATATTTTTGTATAGCAAAAGCAGCAACAGCAGAAAAAAACCTTTTAGACAATGGCTTATTTGTGGTGGAGCTCTGGTGGCACAGTGATTAAGTGATACTGCTGGTAACCAAAAGGCCAGCAATTCATGTCCACCAACCGCTCCTTGGAAACCATGTGGTGCAGTTCTGCTCTGTCCTCTGGGGTTGCTGTGGGTCAGAATCAACTCGATGGCAGTGAGCTATTTATAGTAATAAATACTAATTATAACTAAATTTCCATATCAAAATATTTAAATCTTTTTCTTTAATTTTAATGAAATTTGACTTTTATTAAAATGAATGTACTTTTAATTTATATATATGCATATATTTATGTATGTATTTATACTTACAAAAACATACATGTTTCAAATTACAGATAGTTTTTGCTTGAAAGGGTAGTACAGAATAGGAAGAAATACTGTGCAAGTGGAAACTACAAAGTGAAATATTAACAATGGGAGAAATAACAATTGCTCCGTGACCTTTAAAAATTTTGTCAAAACATTAAAAACTCTTGTTGTCAATTATAAATATATAGGAAAATTTTAAAAAATAGTAAAAGTAATATTTCTTTAGTACGCTGTAATTTAAAACATAAGAAACTTTGAGAATTAAAATGTTTTATTTCTTTGTTTAAAAAAACTTACAAATAGTAATTTGAAAAAATATTTACAAATCATATATCTGGTAAGAGACTTGTGTTCAGAGTATATGAAGAACTCTTACAACTCAACAATAAAAAAGCAGATAACCCAATTTAAAGAATGGGCAAAGGATTTGAATAGACATTTCTTCACAGAACTATACAAACAGCCAATAAGTATATGAAAACATGTTCAACATCATTAGTTGTTAGGGAAATGCAAATCAAAACCACAATGAGATATCACTTTCGCTCTGATAACTAAAATAAAAAAGACAATAACAGGTGTTGGTGAGGTAGTGGAAAAATTGGAACCCTCATATATTATAAAATGGTGTGTAGCAGCTTTGGAAAACCGTTGGCAGTTCCTCCAAAACTTAAACATACAGTTACCATGTTGTTTGTTGTTGTTAGTTGCCATTGAGTCGGTATCATGGTGACCTCGTGTGTGCAGAGTAAAACTGCTCCATAGGGTTTTCAAGGCTGTGACCTTTTGGAAGCAGATCACCAGGCCTGTGTTCCGAGGCACCTCTGGGTGGGTTCGAACCACCAACCTTTTGGCTAGTTGTCAAGTGCATAACCATTTGCGCCACCCAGGGACTCCTAGAGTTACCATATGACCCTGCAATTCTACTCCTAGGTATATTCCCAAAAGAAGTGGAAACATATATCCACACGAAAACTTATACACAAATGTTCATAGCATCGTTATTCATAATAGCCCAAAAGTGGAAACAACCCAAAATGTTAATCAACTGATGAATGGATAAACAAAATGTGATATAGCCATATGTGGAATATTAGTCAGCCATGAAAAGAATGGAATACTGATATATGAATGCATGAGCCTTGAAAACATTTTAAGTGAAATAAGCCAGACACAAAGGGACAAATATTGTATGGTTCTACTTACGTGAAATATCTAGAATAAGCAAATTTATAGCAACAGAAAGTGCCAGGAGCTGGGAGTGAAGGGGAAATGGGAAGTGACTGCTAATGGTTACCATGTTGCTTTTTTGGATGATGAAAATGTTCTAAAATTAGATGATGACGATGTTTGCACAACTGTATATTCTAAAATGCAGTTAATTGTACACTTGAAAAGGGTACTTTTATGATAGATGAATTATATCTCAATAAAGCCGTTATAACCAAAAAAAAGTAGTTTGAATAGCGATTGTCTTCTTGTCATACAATTTAGGATGTGGAGTGAGCATCCTTTCTATGCCTTGGAGTGTTGTCATATTCTCTCAAACCTTTATCAGCTTCCAACACTTTATCTTTTGGGCTTTCAATGTTGTGAAATACTGAGTTCCTTTAATGTAAAAATTTTGTCAGTGTCACTTCCTCTGGGGCATCTTCATTCTTTCTGTCACTACCACTTTTTTCATTTATGCCAGTAATTCACCTTCATTAAGTTCCTCTGGTTGCATATTTAGAGTCTTCAAGTGGCACTATCATCATAATCACAGTCACCTATTTCTTTTATAACTCCGGTTTTATTCAGTTCTGTTTTCACTTCCAGCATTATCACTTTTCATTTTTTTAGTGCACTTATTTATTGCTTTTTCTCTTTGCTTTGTTGGCCAGTTACCTCTTTCAGTTATTCATTTTTGTAAAATACCATGTGGTTTTATCCCTGGGGGACAAGGATGCAACATAACTACATGCTTGGTTATCTGTGATCAGAATAACAGATGACTAACAGATTTTGAGGAAATGATATGACTGGTCACTGATCATAATGTACTCTTTATTTACATAGTGATTTGTGGAATGAGGACCTAGCAGAGAAGTTTGTGCTTTGTACAGTTACTCACATTTAGTATAAAGTAGCAACTGAAATTTGAGCTGTCTTGTTGGGGGACTGGTGTTATTGAACTAAGCTGTAGTAACTGAAATTTGTGTATGTTGAAATCATGCAAAGCAAGGAATGCCTGTACTATCCTACTTTGTTCTAAAAATAAAATTTATTAGGTGTTAGGCTATGAACAGTCTAATAAATAAGGGAGAGGAAGAATTTGATATTAAAGCATCTAAGATTTATTTTTCCATTAAAAAGTTTTCCTGATAGCTTATCAAATTATATAAGTTATTTACTATTTATTGCCTCTTCTGTCTTTGATTTTTGTAGGAAGTTGGTATGCCAGCAGATTATGTAAACAAGCTTGCTAGAATGTTTCAGGACATAAAAGTATCTGAAGATTTAAACCAAGCTTTTAAGGAAATGCACAAAAATAATAAATTGGCTTTACCAGGTATTATTTTATAATTAAATATGCATATATTTTAAAACTCATTTTGAAAAAGAATATGTTTTCTAGTAAATTAAAAATAAATGCTAGCAGTATTAGATCTAAAGTTATGGAGAATTCCACATTCCTTGGATTCAGCTATCAAGGCAGAATGTTAGATTTGCTGATCCTTACTTTGAATCAAAAGAACACTTAAAAAAAAAATTAAGAGTTTTGTTTATTTTTGACTAGAGCTTACCCTGTATTATTTATTTTGAATTTTATCTGTCGTCATGACTGTTTACTTTAGGTTTGTATTTTCTGATATTCTTGCCTATAGCTGACTCAGTGAATATAAAAATTCTGAATGCTGGTGCCTGGTCAAGAAGCTCTGAGAAAGTATTTGTCTCACTTCCCACTGAACTGGAGGATCTGATACCCGAAGTAGAGGAATTCTACAAAAAAAATCATAGTGGTAGAAAATTACATTGGCATCATCTCATGTCAAATGGAATTGTAAGTAGATGCATTAGTTTGGCTATTGGTTATGCTGAAAGTAGCAGAGCTCCAAATAAGAATGGCTTACGCAAGATAGGGAGTCCCTGGGGGGATGCAAATGGTTAAGCACTCAGCTACTAGCTGAAAGGTTGATATTTCAAATTCATCCAGAGGCACCTTGGAAGACAGGCCTGGCAATCTGCTTCCAAAAGGTCACAGCCTTGAAAACCCTGTGGATCAGTTCCAGTCTGCACACATGGGTTTGCTATGAGTCAGAAATGACTTAACAGCAACTAACAACAACAATACAAGATTGATCTTTGCCTCTCTCACATGTAAAAGCTTGAGGCGGTACCATGAATCTGTTCCAGAAGTTGTAAGGGGCGCAAGCTCCTTGTTGCACCACCATTCTTAAGGTATTGCTCTTGTCTGCATAATTCAGTATGATTCCCATTATGTCTGCATTTCATCCAACAGGAGAGAAAATGAGAACGCATACCTTCCTTTAAGGGGGGCATTTCTAGAAGTTTTCTCTAGCACTTCCACTTGCATGTTATTGGTCAGAAATGAGTCACATGTCCACAGTTTGCTAAAGGAGAATCTGAGAGATGAGCCTTTATTCTGGGTAGTCATTAAGGTCTGAAGTTTTTATTACTGTGTATAGAAGGAAGAATGGATATTGGAAGACAACTTTAGCAGTGTTTTCCTCAGACAGTCTCATCTAAGAGATACTATGTTAGATAGGTGGTTTGTAAAGATAAATCATTATGAAGAGATTCTTATTTTTTTTTAATGTTTTATCTGTTGTAGATAACGTTTAAGAATGAAGTAGGTCAATATGATTTGGAGGTAACAACGTTTCAACTGGCTGTGTTGTTTGCATGGAACCAAAGACCCAGAGAGAAAATCAGCTTTGAAAATCTGAAACTTGCAACTGAACTCCCGGATGCTGAGCTTCGAAGGACTTTATGGGTTTGTTTGTTTTATGTTTTTTGTTTTTAAAATTGTATCCTGTCACCTATCAGGAAATATATAATTGTCTTATAATAAACTTATAAATTTAATGACACTCTCAAAATGACTGTTAGCCAGAGGAAAACATTAATGAGGTATTTATAGAGAAAAGAAATTGAAAATAGGCAAGTTATCAAGATGGAGAAAGTCAAAAAAAAAAAGAGAGAGAGAGAAAGATATTGAGATTGAGTTGGTATTTTAATGTTACCTGTGAAGAATGTGACCAAAGACATGTACTTAATTTTTATATTGACAATGCAGTGTGTTCAAAGATTTCATGATGAACAAAAATCAGAAGATGACCAAGACTCAGGAAACTTTAGTCCTTTTAAGGATTTGTAAAATACTCTTTCTGACCTATTCATAGCTACATTCTACTCCTACTCCGTAGACCTCTTCGAAGTTCCAAAATAAATTATTACCTAGGGAGGAGACAGCTGGCTTATAATTGGCAAGTGGTGTTCACTGTGGTCACATACAACCAGTCCCTCTAATTTCTTGTCTTCTTATTGCAAAGAGGGCATTTGTTGCTTCCTAATAGCCAACTCATTCCACCTTCTCATTTTCCCTTTCCCCACTATGCATTTACGTTGCTATATTTATGGCAGGACCAAATTAAAAGTCCTAATTCTGAATTTGTACTTATAATCTTTTCTTACCTATGTTAGTCATGTTACAGAATTGATCTTAGTATTTCATACTGTTTTATAGACACTTTTCTTTTTTTATTCTTTATAGTCTTTAGTAGCTTTTCCAAAGCTAAAACGACAAGTTTTATTGTATGAGCCTCAAGTCAACTCACCCAAAGACTTTACGGAAGGTACCCTCTTCTCCGTGAACCAGGAGTTCAGTTTAATGTAAGGTTTATGTTGGTTGATCCAAAATAAAGATGCCTTGTTTGATTTTTAATGCTTTGTTTTCAATAAATAATTATTTTCCTTAGATGATACGTAAAACTATTTACTGTCATAATTATATGTTCATGTTGTTTAGTTGTTTATTAAATCAGTGAACTAGACATGTTTACTTCTTTGCCATATTTTCCATGAATGCATTTTTGGTGTCTGACAAAATACTGTGTTACATTTTATCTTAAAGTGAACATCCTTTTGCACTGTAAAGCAACTGAATCCTCAGAAAAGCAGTTGAATTCACAGGAAGCATATTTTCTTGAAGATCCAATTAGATGATTATGGTGAATCATGATCCATATATCTTCAATGATCTGATCACTTTCATGGCAGTATAAACTGTGTTTGTTAACTTTGTCATTATATTGTGTGAAGTCACCTATATGTTGTTATCAGAGTCTTTATCATACTCTTTGGGGAGAATAATAGAGTTCATTTTAAATAAAACTGTATGTTATTTGTGACTTTTCCTTTAAGCAGTTTTAGATAATAATTGTTCAGTGTTTCTAAAATTTTCTGGTAGACATTGCTGCTATTTGATCTTTAAAAGCCCTTTCACTGTAAAATATTTAACATTTTGGTTTGATGTTTACATTATCATTTGATTTAATGTTTTTGTTATAGAAAAAATGCAAAAGTCCAGAAAAGGGGTAAAATAAACTTGATTGGACGCTTGCAGCTCACTACAGAAAGGATGAGAGAAGAAGAGAATGAAGGAATAGTTCAACTAAGAATATTAAGAACCCAGGTTTGTAATGTTAAAACAAAATGTTTAAATTTTTAAAATTTTATTTTTTGAAATCGTCAGTTTTTTTTTTTTTTTAAAGAACATATAGGTTTTCAAACTTCTTGTAAGGAAGAGCTAATGGAATTTAAAAATTGTATTGATGGCACTCTTTTAGCTGCTGAAAGATATGTGTATACAGCTTGATGATCTCTGGTTGATTCTAATCTATTGGTTGGGTAAAACCTAGGTATCAGGCTATGCCTCTTGACCCCACTAGAATGAACAGATCTCAGCAACAAGTTACACTTGTAGGATTAAAGTATTTAAAATTTTATTTAATCTTAAGACTTTTAATTCCATTGTAATGTGAAATTAAGAAACTTACCTAGAACCTCCCCAAAATTTTCTAATACCCATTCCTTCTTTTAAAAAAAAATATTTTGAAAATAGGATTAGAAAACCTTCTGAATATGATACCTACTGCAAAAAATGTATAAGTATTTTAACTTTAGCAATAATCTCATTAAAACCAAGGTGTCCCACTTTTACTATTTTTATTTGATGTTTGAGACTTCTGGCTAATGCAATAAATTAAGAAACAAATGAGAGGAAGAGATAAAAATTTTCATTACTCGTACATGATATGTAGTAGAGAAAGGAAATAAAAATCAGTAGCTTTCCTTTGTGCCAAATAAATAAATAAATGAATGAATGAATGAATGGGGAATAAAATGAGAAACCATAAAATTCACAGGCTTTTCTTTAAGAAAAATGTGTAAGATCTATATGAAGAGCGTGAACCAGAGATTTGAATCAATAGCTAGAAATATTTTTTCTTTTAAAAATTTCTTTTTAAAAATTTTTATTGAGCTATCTACCATTTACATACAATGAAATGCACATTTTAAAGTGTAATGTTCAGTGAGTTTTGATAAATGCATTTAGCTGTGTGACCACCACCCAATTAAGATACAGAACATTTCTTTCACTCTGTTAATTTCCCTCATGTCTCCTATCCAGCTATTCCCCCCACCGCCAACACCCACACGCTGTACCTGATTTCTATCACCATTGCTTAATTTTTCCTGTGCTAGATCTTCATATAAGTGGAATCATACATTTATTCTCGTGTCTGGCTTCTTTTACTCGACATGAGATACTATATTTTTTAGTGATAATGCTGAATAACTTAGAGTTCATTTTCCCATATTAATACCAGGTTTAGAATAAGGTGTTGATGCTGGTATAACTTTCCTTGCCAAATACTAACATATCTACAAAAATAAAACAGTATGGCAAACAGATTAAATAAAGAAAATAAAAATTAAACTTACTATATAAGTATACACAAACTGATAAATAAATAGAATGGTCCATGGAAAGGGAATAGTTTATTCAGTAAGAGGTGTTGGGACATTTACATTTGGGAGGAAATCAGGATGTATTCCTACTTTACATATACACCAGGAAGAATTTCAGATGAATCAAAGAGTTGAAATGTGTATTGGAGTGGTAGGTGTAATCACGCTATAAGATGCGAAGAGAAAATGAAGTGCTTTTGTTTTATTTTAAACTGATCCATAATTATGCCCAAGCCAATAATTTAAGCAGTTCTTTTAGGTAATGTTCAGACTTTCTTTCTTCCTGATCCTACTCTGTCCATCCCCGTTCTTTGTTCTTTCACTGATAGTATCTAGAGTTATTGAAGGTGATGGAGAATTCACTTATTCTCCTGGTGACAGGGAAGGGATCTTCAGATCCGTACAGATAGGACAGTATCCTGAGTTCTTGCACTTTGAAGTTAAAGAGTGATTTATCAGTCACCAATGGGAATTTGGCTTTGTGTTGCTATTTATTGCTGATGTCTGTAGCAGATGAGCTCATGGTTTATTCTTTTTCCGCTTGGTAAGAGCCACATGGCCTCTTCCCTGCTGTGAATACCTGTGTTCTCTTCTCACTGAGCCTTTGAGCTCTCTGAGACTCTGCCATATCTTCTGTTGTCCCCTTGGCCTACATGACACACTAACATCATTATCTACTGCAGGGTCACCCTGCCCTGCCACTGAATGCCTTGTGGCAGACCCATTAATTCTAAACTCTATTTGTGTCATATGGGAACTGAGAAAGATTCAGGAGTGCACACTGTCTCCATCATACAATGCCACTCTTCAGATGATCTCTAGCATCCCAAGTGGGGACCAGGGCAAGAGCCCCTTTGCTATCTATTATCCTCTTAACTTCTCTAACCCAACCACCATCCTTACTTTTACCAAAGCCGGAAGAGGAGAAATTAGGACATTAGCAATTGTTCCTCTTCCTCCTGCCTGATTCCTGTAATCATCAAGGACCCGAAGGGATGGACTCTTCTTCCCCCTCCTTTCTATCCAGACCCTTGACATAAACCCCTGTGATCAAGAGCCTAGCTCTTGGTGTATTAAAGAGAAAGTTGAAGGATTTTCTTTCTTGCTTAATAGTGCCTTACTCCCAAGCCTATTGCCTTGCAGCAAAATTCCATTTTAAATGTTAAAAGCAAATATTACCCTATTTTGTCTTTACATTTCTTCTATTACAAATTCTAATCTCCATCAAGGCAGATAGCTGCCTTGTGTGATCTAAGAAGAAGGCTTGTACTGAAAAAGACAAAAGAGAAAAGACATTTTGAAATTATCCATATTCATAGTAATGAAAGAAATTATCAAGAAAAATAATTGATAAAATTGACCTAGATAAAAAATGCAAAAACTCCATTAAAAAGTTAAAAACATCTAACTAGGTCAATACAAACTTAAAATAATATTTGGTAAATATATAAAAAATAATAGTTATTTTTTAAAACAGACTCCAACTGGCCTCTACTACTACACAAAGAAAACACTGAATACAAAGGGAAAAGAAATTATGCGTAAGGGGTTTGTCATATCTTAATTGATGTTTGATGTTTAACACAATATAAAGTTGTATACATATTGTGGTCACAGATAAGATAAAAAATGTTCTTAGTATGGAAAAAGGAATGAAAGGAAGTATACCAAAGCATTAGCTATGGTTGTCTTTCAGTAGGGAGGTTATGAGTAATTTTGTTTTTTCCTTGTTTTTCAAACTCTTTCTAATAAGGAGATTTTCTTTTAGAGTGAGTGAAAAAAATTATTTTTACTTTTTAAGTAAAAGAAATTGGTCTTAAGATTAATGCGCTAGTAATTGCTGTTCATGTTGGATAGATGATGAAATGTGTAAAAACTGATTTTTGAGGTTTTTTTTTTTAATTTTGCTTAAAATATCTTAAATATTAATGCTCTTTTTTTTCTTTTTCCTTTTAGGAAGCTATCATACAGATAATGAAAATGAGAAAGAAAATTAGTAATGCTCAACTGCAGACTGAATTAGTAGAAATTTTGAAAAACATGTTCTTGCCACAAAAGAAAATGATAAAAGAACAAATAGAATGGCTAATAGAGCACAAATATATCAGAAGAGATGAATCTGATATCAACACTTTCATATATATGGCATAATTTCTAATATCATGAACAATATTAAGAACCGAAATTTTGGAGTGCTTGGGCAGAAAGTTGTAACAGTTTGTGCTGGAGAGAGGTTTATCTGGACTTTGATTACATAAATATTAAAATCTCTGCCTTACCTTACAAGACAACTCTATTTTGCCAATCACATTAGTTAGCATGATGGCATTCCCTTCATGTTGCACACTCTTAACAGCATGCTGTTTTGTGGAGAAACCTGCATTCATGAAGAGCCCATTACGAACTTTTAAAAGTAAATTTGATTTATACCCACCAGGAGAAATACAGTTGGGAAGAGGGAGGGTGGGGTTTTTGTTCCTTTCTCAGTTTTTTTCTCTCTTAAAAAAATGTACTTGCACAAGGAAGGATCTTCAGATATCCATGCACTGAAAAATGCTGTTATCGTTTGTTTTTAAAAATACAATTAGAAATAAAAATAGCACTCTTGGTTTCTTTTGATCAAAAGAGTGAGCTGGTCTACATAACATTGGGAGAGGGCAGATGTAGGTAAGAAGATAAGCATTTAATGGTATCAGATTGTTTGTTCGAACACTGCTTCAGTATAGTGACTGGATTTTAATTGTGACCTAAAAAATGGTATTAAGTATTTCCAGCTTATAAATGTTGGTTTTCTTTAACCAGAAGACTGCTGTCTTAGTTGTTTGCTGTTAAATGATACATTTTTATCTTCTATGGCTGGAGAGTTTGTTTTGAAAAAGTGAAGCTATATTAATTGTTGCTTCAAATGTTTAAAAAATTTTATGGAGATAGGCCATTATGATTGCAGAGTCAAAATAGCAAAACAAACATATTAAGTGTGTTTCCGAACACATTTAATATTTATATACCTAATATTTATTATGCCATATCTAAATTTATTTTAAAAATGAAGAAATCTCCTGCTCTGATAATAATAGTTGTGTAACTGATCTCTTAATCTGTAGAATAGAAATATTTTGGTATTTTCAAGTCTCACGATTAGAGATTTATATCCTCACGTTTCTGAAAAGGGAGACTTTCTCTCTAAGTAATGGTAAAGTATAAGTGACCTCGAAGGAAGAGAGAAACCACAGCATAAGATGACCTGAAAAGCAGAGGCAAAATTGTTGAAATCTTAATATGAGCAGTAAACTTGCCAAATATATGTACATATATATTTATATTTTAAAAATAAACATTTTTAAAATGTTCATAAGGCAACATTTACCTTGTTCCTTTCAGTCAATCCAAAGTAGCAGCTTAATAGTTGCTGGCAACAGAATACCCAGAATAGTAGAGGTTTTAGGACTTCAGGACATAAACACTTGAAAGAGAAAAACTTACTCCCCATTGGGAAGGAATGACTCAACATGGATTTCTATTCATTGTGGTGCATGTTTCAAACCTTCTCGCAAATTATTTTATGTCTTGTTTGACTTTAAGTAATAGTTTAAACATTTGGTTTTGAAGATAGTGGAAAATGGAGTGCTGGAGCACTGAAAGGCATACAGTATTATTACATTACTAGCGGAGTGCTTTCAAGGGCATTTCATGAAATGTGTACTCAATCCCAAGATGGATTGTGAGCAGCCTGTTGAAAGAAAGGAGCAAATTTTAAATATTTAAGGTTTTGTTTGCTGTAGTCAAATGCCTATTCTGAAACTCATAGGAAATTGGAATTTTGTTTATAATTTAAAATGTTATACTTCACCATTTGGGTAGCATGTCAATTATTAGACTAAGCATACTGTTCAGAATTTAAAAAACAAAACTAGTGCTCATTGGTTTCTCTATTAAATGATTGCTAACAATGGATAAATTTGAAATTTAGAAAAAATAATGCTGGCCCTGATGTATAGGTAATAGTGTGGTATTGGCATAATTGTCACAGTACAAGAATGCTAAAAGAAGAACAAACTGGGTAAAAGTATAGGCCATTTTTAAAAGTTTAAGGTTTGTTATTTGAAACCATACTTTTTCTCAGCACTTTTTTGGAATTTCTAATCTTTTTGGTCATTTAAGAAGGAGAGCCATGACGTTTTGATTCATGAAGACAAATTAATGCAAAAGTGGGTAACTCTAAATCCATAGCAGAGTTTTCTATTGAATTTTATAAATTGTTTAATAACTAATTATGTAATTGTATTTTGTGCAACTGAACAGCAGTACCGTATTTTTATGCAAATAACACACATTCTACGTTTTTTGCCAGCTGCGCAATTCCCTTGCACATTATTTTCCTAGGCGCGCTATGTGCGTTGTATGTGTGGGCGTGTTATTCACGTGGGCACATTATTTGCGAAAATACGGCAAATACTGTAGAATTAGAGTTTGTATCATCTTTTTGGTATATATACAAAAATTTACCTAATTACTTTTTGGTGTTTATGAAAACCATTTAGTTGACAAGGTGCCTATACCATTGTTGAATTTTCTTTGAATATGTTTTGACAGTATATTTGCAAATTAAAAAATAATCTGAAAAAATCTCACCAGCAATTTGCTAAAATACAGAATCACATTTAGCATCCTTTTTCAGGTCTCTTTCTCCAATATGCACTTGAAATTAGTGCTACCTGAGCAGGGATGAAACCTGACATAGTTAAGGGTAAAGAATCCAAACCAAAAAAAAAAAAATTACACATATATTTTTCACTAGTAGTATGGCAACAGGACACTTCAAAGATTAAGCTTTGAACACTCATCTCATTTAAAGATGTGCCATCTGGAAAATGTTAACCTTTGTTGCCATCTCGTTGCCAGAGTAAGTAGACATGAAGCAAAATTTATGAAGTAAAAATATAGAACAGTTTTAATGCTTACAATGAGATAAATTTTAAAACATTACTGTTCCAATGATTTAATGAGGATCTTGAAATAAATTCTGAAGTCTTCCAATTTTTACATTTATTGAAGGGGTCCTTGAGTTCTGTCAATCTGTTTATTTAGAGCTCTTGCTCTTATTTTGAGCGTAAAGGTTAAATTTTCCAAAACGAAATATTAGCCATCTTATTTTCTATTAAATTTAATACAAGATATGACTTGAGTTGTTAAACAGTATTTTGCATTATTTGCAGTAGAATGTCATTAGCCCTGCTAAAAGGGCACATTTTAAAAATTCAGTTTGGGTGGAAGATTTACTAGTTTTACAGAAAGATTTGCTATCTTAAACTCAAGCTAGTTTTTCTATTTTCATGTAAATGACTGGGATGCTATCTTATCAATTCTTCCAAGGTCATATTTGTGAAATAAACATGACATGAAAGCTTTCCTGTCATCTACACTATATGTCGTCTGGAGTGTTGAACAAAATTTGAGTTCCTAAGTTGTAATCTATCCTCGTATGGTATATACGATTTTGAATGTGTGCCACTACATACTGAGATGATAATGCTGTACAATTTTAAATGGTAGCAGTTTCTGTATGCAGTAGGCTGAAATATTTTGATGAACTGCTTAATTTTTTGAATTTTATTTTTTAAGTTGTATAATTTATTTTCTTGCAAAATAAAAATGTAATATAAAAGATTTCACCTATTCAGGAAATGTTGATGTTCGGTTATGAAATAGTTCCTGAGTTTAATTTAGATTTTTTATAATAAGTATATTTTTCAAAGTGAAATAGCAAATATCAGTCAGCCTTAACCCAAAAAACCAAACCTGTTGCCATCGAGTCGATTCTGACTCATAGCAACCCTATAGGACAGAGTAGAACCGCCCTGTAGGGTTTCCAAGGAAAGCCTGGTGAATGCGAACTGCTGGCTGACATTTTGGTTAGCAGCCATAGCTCTTAACTACTACGCCACCAGGGTTTCCCAGTCAGCCTTAGGAATCAGAAATACGAAAATAAATCCACTTACTTCGTTTAGATTTTAAATTCTAGTTCAAAATCAAAGCTTGCAGAATTTGGCTTTTCTGATAGCGTATGGCTGTCATGCATGCAAAATTCCAAATTTGAAAGTAATTAGCATTCACTAGTGTTGATAGCACATGCCATAACTGTAATTTAAATTTTACATTGGATAAAAGTAAAAAATGTAAAACATTATGTCATGTTTTGGACATTTTGGAAAATTTGCAAAATACTGATTTCAAAAGTAAAGAAAATTTAGTAATAAGATTATGAAGATGGACAGATACAGTTAATAACAGTTCATTGATCAATTGAAAAAGTTAATCAGAAAGCTTTGACTCTAGAAAACCTGAATTGCATACAGGGACTAAATTTGAAAGAGATTTACGAGGGCTCTTTTAAATTGAGAGACCATGTGTTATTCATTCCTATCGTCGTTGTTGCTAGTTGCTACGGACTCATGGTGACCTTATGTATAACAACAGAATTAAACCTTGCCCTGTCCTGTGCCATCTTTATGATCTTTGTTATGTTTGAGCCCATTGTTGTTGCTCTTATGTCAGTCCATCTCATTGAGGTTTTTCCTCGTTTTTGCTGACTCTCTACTCTACCAAATATGATGTTCTTTTCTATCAATTGGTCTTTTCTGCTGATGTGATTACTAACATACCAGTTACCAGTTGCCATAGAGTCAGTTCCGACTCATGGCGACCCCATGTGTTGCAGAGTATAACTGTGCTCCATAGGGGTTTCTGGCTATGACCTCTTGAAGCAGATTGCCAGGCCTTTCTTCCCAGGCACCTCTGGGTAGGATCAAACTGCCAACCTTTCCATTAGTAGCCAAGCGCTTAGGCATTTCTGCCACCCAGGAACTCCCATTACTACTGTTGTTGTTAAGTGCTGTCGAGTCCATTCCAACTCATAGCGACCCTGTGTACAACAGAACAAAACAATGCCCGGTCCTGCATCATCCTCGCAATCGTTGCTATGTTTGAGACCATTGTTGCAGCAACTGTGTCAATCCATCTCATTGAGGGTCTGCCTCTTTTTTGCTGACTCTCCACTTTACCAAGTGTGATGTCCTTCTCTAGGGACTGGTCCTAGTCGCTAAATAAATGTTTGACAGCTCAATGGACAAACACCTACATTTGACTTCATAATAACCCTAAACTCAACTTTGTACTTTCTCTGGAATTTGGGAGGGAAAAAAAAGTTAACTTGGAAGGCAAAGAAAAGTATGGTTTCAGAATAAGAGTCACCTGTAAACCTAGAGACAGACATGCTCCTAAGCTTCTGGGCTTCTTTCAAGGCCTTGGGAAGGGATGCTAGCAGTTTTGCAAATGTAATTTTGTATTCTTTTTTCATAAAGAGGATCCCACAGATTGTATAAACTTCAAGTTTCTCAAAATTTGGATGCAGTCCTGCTAAAACTGAATGCAAGGGGAAACCTATTTGACACATAGTAGGTACTCAAATGTGGAGCATGAGAACAAAGTAAGTTCAATATTTTAAGCAAGGAGACTTCTTTTCCAGTTCCTCATTCTAGGCTTGTGTTACACTGGGTTCTCTAGAAAAGCAAAACCAGTGAAGCATCTATATACACACACACACACACACATATATATAAAGAGAGAGAGAGATACATATCAAGGAAGTGGCTCACGCAGTTGTAGAGACTGGAAAGTCCCAAATCCATGGTGCAGGGGCTGGCGAACCCAAGATCCAGACCTCAGAGGCTGAAGAATCCCAAGATCGGTAGGCAAGCTGCAAGCTCAGATCCCAAGAGCTGGAGGTCAGGTGAACAGGAGCCAGTTGCAGGATCCAGAGCTAGCAAAAGCCAGCGAGCCTTGCCAGAAAGTTCACCTATAATGGATACAGGCCACACCCCCCAAGGAAACTCCCTTTCCACTGATGGGCAACTCATGGCAGGTCCCATCATGGAGATGATTATATCATTAAATGACTGCCAAAGTACTGCCAAACTACCTCATAACTCCCAAACCACTGAGAATCATGGCCCAGCCAAGTTGACACACAACCTTCACCATCACAAGGCTGTGCAGTCAAACACATTGACTTTTTATGTCACTAAACTCCTCTTTTGGTCTATGAACAATCTGGAGCAGAGGTCTTAGACTGTTGGGCAGGTACAGACTTCTATGAGAATCTCATTAAAACAACCAAAAAAAAAATGATAAAGACAATTCTGCATATAAATTTCAAGTGTTCACACACACCCAAGATAAAAATTTTTGATAGTGAAATTCTAGAGTGAGTAAAGCAGATAGCAGCTTGCCCTTTGGTTGCTTATGACCTAATTTGTCAGTAGCGCTGATTCAAACTTAGATCTGCTCTGGTTCTTGACTGTTTATTTAGAAAACTATAGGAGACTTCTCCGTGTGTTAATGGGTTTTGCCATCTTGATTTAATGGTAAAATACAGTATTTGTTTTATTGCAGTTACTGAGGCAGATTGATAATTTTACAGATTTTTCTTCAACAATGGTTGATGGTTAGCAGTAGGAACCAGGAAGGCCACAATCTGAAGAAAGCCAACTTTGCATTGAGCCGGGCTGGAAAATTAACACTCCTGTTAACAGACCACCATTACTGTGCATTTAAGAAAGTGGTGCCTGGGAGTAGACCCATGTTTCCCTATTCTACCATTACCGCCTTCATTCTCAGCAGATCACTTTGGTTTGAGAATATAAGGCCTTCAGGCATGAACTCATGATTTACCTTACAGCCACCGCTGAACTTTACCTCTAATAGTGTGTATCTTCATCTGCCTACCTGTCTCAGAGGAGAAGTCACCTCATTTCTTATTCAAGGTCTTAATTATTTTATCTTTTTTCTGAAGCCCATCCTCTCCTGCACCTTGTGTTTTGCTCTGTAAGCATCCACATCTCCTGCATCTTCAAACGTCCTTCTTTTGATTCTTGCCCCCTTCGCCTACAGCAGTGATTCTCAAAATTTTGTCCACAGACCAGCAGCATTATCGTCTGGGAACTTTGGCAAGTGGAAGTTTTTGAGCTCCATGCCAGACCTACTGAATCAGAAACTGTGGGTGGGCCTATTCTGAATTTTGACAAGCCTTCCAGGTGTTGCTGATGTACATTAAAGTTTGAGAACCACTGGCCTACAAACATTAAAATATCCACCATCCTTTAAAAAAAAATTCTGCCTCCTATTTTTGTCATGGTATGACCTTGTTTTCCTCTTTCCCTTCATTGCTAAATATCTTGACAAGTTTCACTGTCTCCATGTCTTCAACTTTGTACTCATTGGCTTATGACCCCACCACTCCTCTTGCTAAGTTCATCAGTGGCCTCCCTATTGCTTAATCAGAAGTATATTTGAGATTGTTTACAATCTTCCTCTTTCTTGATCACCCTACAGCATTTGCAACTTGAACATTCCTAATTAGTGAACTTGTTTCATCCTTTGGCTTCGAAGACACCATTCTCTCCTGGTCTCACTCTTACCTCTCTCAGCTTTCTTGGTCTCGTCTAGCTCTTCCTCTGCCTGCATGCCCCAGGATTTCTTCTCCTGATTCTGCTCCTGCCAGGTTACATGTGCTTCCTGGGTGATCTCATCTACTTCCCTGGCTTCAATCACTATCTGCGTGTTGATACCCTAGACTTTGTCTCCAGTCCAGGCTTTCTCTCCAATATCAACATGTATTTACAGCTACTTACTGAATTTCTCAAGGAATCCTGATGGCACAGTGGTTAAGTGCTCTGCTCTTAAGTGAAATAGTCTGTGGTGGTTCAAACCCACCAACTGCTCTGT